AAACCCCACTGATATATTCCTCTGAAAGGATCTCCACCAAGAGAACAGGGGAATCTCGATAGTGTAATACTGTTTGGCAAATATTTAGCATACTTTTAAAAACTCTTACATATAAATAATGTGAGCTCTTGTGCACGATAGACTCACAAGCATCGCATTAAAAAAATGTCCGGGTTATTGCTGAGCTAACCATGTGTCTGCGGTATACATGTCCTTCTCAACCAAACGCCTTTGAACTTCATGCCTGCCCTTTGCTCCCCCCTGCGATATCAGCAGTTCCGTCACATGCTTCACCCCAAAAATCAGGTGATTTTGAACGCTAATCCTAATCAGAAACCTCATCCTAATCATAACCATTATCCTAAACTTAATCCTAAACTTAATCTCAACCCTAGCAATAGTGTTAGAAGGATTCTTCAGAGCCACAGTTAGTGAAGATGGCATGAGTGTCACTACATTAATAAAAGAATGATTGAAGATGGTCTATAGGGTAAATTTTTTAGTAGTATTATTTTTTTCATAAAATATTTTTGGGGGGGTATGTTAGAATGCAACAAAGTCAAATATATTCTGTACCTGTTTGAAGTGTATGGTGATGACCATGTGGGACCGGCTGCTGCTGGCATTCATGCTGGTTGAGGCAGTGGTTCTTATTTTTTTCCCCTGTTCCATTAACTTTTCAATTTGAGCATAGCTCTCGCAAGGCACTAGTTTTAGACCATCAACATAAAATCCTTGATGCTGATCTTCTCGCACTTTCAGACCACCAGACTTTTTGGTTTTACATAGCAAATCTGTGACCTGGACAAAATCACGAGTTAGAAAATTTCTATAACTTTCTATTTTCGCAAACTAGATGTTGGCTTACCAGTCGAGAAGAAGAAGCAGCTGCAAATTCAGGTTTTTATTTTAGATTGTAAGCTTCACCTACTGTTCCCATATGTCAATTGTGCTTTGTTCGAAATACGGATGTCCTGTCTTACCCTTTGTACAACAATGCGGAATACATCAACGCTATATAATTAATTGTAATAGAGTTTCTCTTTTTAGTGCCTCTTGGCTGCTATCAGTTTTGATGTTCAGTTTTGATGAACTATGGGGGTTTATGGGATATGCTCAATACGCTCACTGAAAACAAATGGAAGGCTGATAATCACCATCTAATGCCTAGTCTGGGCAGAGCCCTTTGCAGGTGACTCTTATTTGCATATACATTTCATACATTTAAAATATGTTCTATATAAAATATAAAAAAATGTTTTCAACTGAGTGCATACACACCCTGCAATAGTCAAGAACTGCCATCCCTGAACTCTTCTGATTAAGACTGACAATAAGCATGGATTAAAGCTATTCTCTGAGAAATGACAGGAACTCCATTTTCTATTCATATTAATTTTGAATTACATTTAAGGAACACTATAGGGTCAGGGACACAAAAGTGTATTCCTGATCCTATAGTGTTAAAATCACCATTTAGGTGGCTTGCCCCCCTTGCTCTCCTTAAAAGGTAGGAAAACCACCTTATTTCCAGTGCTGTGCGGGTCTGCCCGATCTATCTCCTTTACCATAAGAAATGCATTGGATTGGCTGAGATTGTCAAGGAGGCAGGGCGAGGCCAGGGCCAAACGCCACCCTGGCCAATCAGCATCTCCTCATAGAGATGCATTGAATCATGGGGAGTATCCATGCAAAGTGTGGAGATGTTGAATGTCAGTGCTGCATAGTGTGCAGCATATACCCAGGAAGCACCTCTAGTAGACATCTGAGGATTGCCCACTAGAGGTTTTCCTAGGATGTAATGTAAAAACTGCCTTTTCTATACATGCTATACAGCTTATTGTAGTTGTTCTGAGGACTATATTGTCCCTTTAACCCCTTAAGGACTGGACTGTTTTTGCGATGTTGTACATTTGCGACCAGGAATATTTTTACACTTTTGTGGTGTTTGTGTTTGGCTGTAATTTTCCGCTTTCTCATTTACTGTTCCCATACAAATTATATATTGTTTTTTTCAGGGCAAAAGGGGCTTTCTTTACATACCATTATTTATATAATCTCATGTATTTTAATTTAAAAAAAATACAAAAATCTGATGAAAAATTGAAAAAAATACATGTTTTTTGACTTTTACTTGAAAAATCTTTACTCATCTACAAAAGCGAATGAAAAAAACTGCTAAATAGATTCAAAATTTTGTCCTGAGTTTAAAAATACCTAGTGTTTACGTGCTTTTTTGCTTTTTTTTGCATGTTATAGGGCTATAGGTACAAGTAGGATATTGCGGTTTAAAAACAAACATTTTTAAAATTTATCAATAGTGACATTGTAACACTATTATCTGTCATAAATCTCTGAATAACACCCCACATGTACATATTTTTAAAGTAGACAACCCAGGGTATTCAATATGGGGTATGTCCAGTCTTTTTTAGTAGCCACTTAGTCGAAAACACTGGCCAAAGTAAGCATTCATATTTGTTTGTGTGTGAAAAAAGTAAAAAAACTAAATTGAACGCTAATTTTGGCCAGTGTTTGTGACCAAGTGGTTACTAAAAAGACTGGACATACCCCATTTGCAATACCTTGGGTTGTCTTCTTTGCAAATGGTATGCCATCATGGGGGTAATTCTCATTCCTGGGCTACCATATGCTCTCAAAGGCAACGTAACCAACCTGGCCATTTTCAATGTAAAAATATTTGACCCATATATTTGACCTTGTAACTTTCAAAAATGCTATAAAACCTGTACATGGGGGGTACTGTTTTACTCGGGGAGACATCGCTGAACACAAATATTAGTGTTTAAAAACTGGAAAACGTATCACAACAATTATATCATCAGTAAAAGTGCTGTTTGTGTGTGAAAAATGCAAACAAAAGTAACTTTCACTGACAATATCATCGCTGTGATATGTTTTACTGTTGTGAATCACTAATATTTGTGTTCAGCGAAGTCTCCCGAGTAAAACAGTACCCCCCATGTACAGGTTTTAGGGTGTCGTAGAACGTTACAGGGTAAAATACAGTGCTAGCAAATTCAATTCTCTGGAATTTCGGCCTGGGTTGGCAGGCAGGTCCCTCAAATTGCAATCAATAAAATTACTGAATTATGTAAAAATATTACATAAATACGCACGTAGAATTTAAATATATATGCATATTTATATATTTGAAGTCTACGTGTATATTTATATAATTATTTATGTAATTTTGTATATGGACATATGTATATTTCTATTATTTTTATTTATTTTTATATACATAGATATATATACAAATTCATTCTAAGTGTATTTTGATATAAATATATATATATTAATTTTAAAATACAGTTAGAATAAAATTTCATATAACTATATAATTTTTTTTTAATTTTTTATTATTTAAAATTTTTTTTATTTAATTTAAATTACTTATTTATATTTTATAATAATATATATATACAATATATATAGATATTATATATATACATGTGTAATTTAATTATAAGTGTATTTTTATATTAATGTAAGTACATATTAATATAAAAATACATAGTATGACATTATATATAT